CACTTGGTACCCATTCACTGCTGGGTGAACAGAGACACGTTTCTAACAAAATCACTTGCCCAAGGTGACAACTAGTGCTAATTGGTTGAAATCTCACAATTGATGATTGCTTCATTACCAACGAACAATCATCGAAAAAAATTGGTTAGCATCATTTTTCAGAGTTGCCTATCCAGGTTGTTACTGCAGAAAAGTATAACATGTTGCAACTTGCTAAATTAAAGTGATGACTAATATATCATGAACATAAACTTCCTGGAGTCTTAGAGAAATATTCAGTCATGACATTTCACTTAGTGGAGTGAGTTTTCTAAGAAATAAACATGTTTTCAGGCCCTGACAACTTCTAAGATATGTTCCATTGTCAAGTATTTCAAAGACTACAACAGTAGTTCCAAAATCCTTTATGTTCCATTATGAGAAAATGTGATCGATTGCTTGGTCATTTGGTCACTGTGACCAATCTTCGATTATTTCAATTAATTGGAACACCACTAGTGACAACACATGTGTACAAGTTCTTCTTCTTCAAGAAGAACCGAAATTCAAGAGATTGAGACTAATCTCAAGAGCTTGTCACCAATGCAGCTTTAACTTTACCTGATTTGTGAAGTACCACATGCCACTCTGTGTACCAAGGATAGTGATACGATTTATATCCAGAGTTATATGATGACCTGAACTGTAAAACCTTGAAATGTTGACTCTGTCAGGCAGAGAACTAGCCAACTGTTAAACCCTTCTTCAAGAACTCTAAGGAATTTCAACCAGTATCCAGCATCCAATTTTCAACTGCTCCCCAACATCAAACCTTTTTCCCAGTCTAGCTCTACCTGCTATAAGTGGACAAAATAAAACATGCTCTCCTGGCCAATCAGCTGATATGTTGTCTCTGAAGATAAGACCGTGAAGTTAACTCACAGCACTATCACGGCAGATGTCCTTACCATTTCTCCTCAAGGGCTACAGAATCAGTGCCGTCTTTCACACACTTACTAATGAAGCAGATCATGGCGTGTTATTAACTATCAATGAATACTTTGGATTATATATTAACTACTACTACAGAACTATAAATCACAATTTAGCAACATAGGCGGTTGGATTGAACTTCCAGGGGTAACAGCTTGTGAGAGTGAGAGTCCAGTCAGCTGACCTGTTCCACTACTTTGTGCATTCGTTTGTAGATTCCTTACTGGACTGGACACACAATATTGTAGGGGTGGGGTAGGGTGGGGTGAGGCGGGTGTGTGGATGTGTGGTTGGTCTAACAGTAACTTCTTTTCATATATATATGTTACAGCAATAAACATAACCATTGTCTGAGTGTTGTACATAGACTTTCGACTTAGACATTGTTGTACATAGACTTTCGACTTAGACATTGACATTGTTGTACATAGACATTAGAGTTGTACATAGACTTTAGGCTTAGACAGACATTGTTGTACATTGTTGTACATAGACTTTAGACTTAGACATTGTTGTACATAGACTTTCGACTTAGACATTGTTGTACATAGACTTTAGGCTTAGACATTGTTGTACATAGACTTTAGACTTAGACATTGTTGTACATAGACTTTAGGCTTAGACATTGTTGTAGACATTAGACTTAAGGCTTGATTCATAGACTTTAGACTTAGACATTGTTGTACATAGACTTTAGGCTTAGACATTGTTGTACATAGACTTTAGGCTCAGACATTGTTGTACATAGACTTTAGGCTTAGACATTGTTGTACATAGACTTTCGACTTAGACATTGTTGTACATAGACTTTAGTCTCAGACATTGTTGTACATAGACTTTAGGCTTAGACATTGTTGTACATAGACTTTAGACTTAGACATTGTTGTACATAGACTTTCGACTTAGACATTGTTGTACATAGACTTTAGGCTTAGACATTGTTGTACATAGACTTTAGACTTAGACATTGTTGTACATAGACTTTAGACTTAGACATTGTTGTGTACATAGACATTGTTGTACTTAGACTTTTCGACTTAGACATTGTTGTACATAGACTTTAGGCTTAGACATTGTTGTACATAGACTTTAGGCTTAGACATTGTACATAGACTTTCAACTTAGACATTGTTGTACATAGACATTTTGTACATATACTTAGACATTGTTGTACATAGACTTTTGGCTTAGACATTGTTGTACATAGACTTAAGGCTTAGTGTTGTACATAGACATAGACCATTTGACTTAGTAGTATTGTTGTACATAGTCTTTACATAGTCTTTATGTGTTGTTTTATATTGCTTTAGAGCAATCAATGTGAGAGAATGAAAGTGTAATCAGATATACAGAAATAATCAAACTGTTTTTGTTTACAGAACTGATGGTACATAATCCAGTCATTAACTTGAACAGGATATAGTGGTTAGGCATTAATGTACAGACTGATATGAAAAAGGGGTAAATTCCACCTTATAATGGTGCCCAGACATTGCCTGGTCCATAAATGTTCTGTATTCCCCCTACCAGAGCCCAGATAACCAATGCCAGAACCCAGGAATATACTCTCATGCTGACTGAGTGCAGTATCTGCACTATGTTATTCCGCCTGAAGACACACTTCATCAATGGAGAATACTGTTGCCATACACATGTTTAATACATTAAATATGTGGATGTACATTAACATATTGACAGAATGCATTTCTGATATTAAAGGAAATTGTTTATTTCTGAAGCTGATATTTCCCCAAAATGTCATTGAAATGGTGTCTACAATATTGTACTGCTATAGACCAAAATGGTGCCAATGACATCAGACTGTAACAGACTAATGGTACCAATGACAGTAAACTGTCAAAGACAGAAATGGTGCTATCTTTACATCAGGATACATCACAGGATCGAGGTTGACCATTGTGATTGGTAGTATTGTAGTTGGTATTAAAACCATTTTTGCCTACCACCATTGGCAGGGACCGGGACATAGCTTACTCCTGATTCCCTGGGTGTTCAGGGCTCGTTAGGGTAAGGTATATAGTTTATCTGCTCACACCAGGGAGACTTGCTTAAAGAGCAGCAGAAGCCGGGGTTATGGGAGCTGGCTGCACGGTGGTAACACTTGATAAATGGTGAGAAGAACTATGATGGATGTGTTGTTTTTGTAATCTTCCACTCCATGACAGAGAGAAAATGTGAACAATGCACAGTATTATACCTGCTTCTGCTCAGTGGGTGACTGAGTTCATGGTGTGTGCAATATTGTACATATGGCGGGGAGTGACACTGTACACTGGCACTGTACACATCCATTGCAAAACTGTACACATTCATCAGCAAAACTGTACACATTCATCGGCAAAACTGTACACATTCATCAGCAATCCTGTACACATTCATCAGCAATCCTGTACACATTCATCAGCAATCCTGTACACATTCATCAGCAATCCTGTACACACTCATCAGCAATCCTGTACACATTGATCAGCAATCCTGTACACATTCATCAGCAATCCTGTACACATTCATCAGCAATCCTGTACACATTCATCAGCAATCCTGTTCACATTCATCAGCAATCCTGTACACATTCATCAGCAAAACTGTCAGCAATCCTGTACACATTCATCAGCAATCCTGTACACATTCATCAGCAATCCTGTACACATTCATCAGCACTGTACACATTCATCAGCAATCCTGTACACATTCATCAGCAATCCTGTACACATTCATCAGCAATCCTGTTCACATTCATCAGCAAAACTGTACACATTCATCAGCAAAACTGTACACATTCATTGGCAAAACTGTACACATTCATCGGCAAAACTGTACACATTCATCGGCAAAACTGTACACATTCATCGGCAAAACTGTACACATTACTGTATTTGCCTCTAACTATAACATCACTTGTGGTAGTACACTGCGTTCAGTTTTCAACAATTCTCTAGCACCAATCATTATTAGCTCATTTTATCTTATACCTGTTTAATTGGATGCTTCTTAGCCCCACAAAATCCCTATACTTAGTTAGCCTACACTGCTAACCATTCAACATAACCCTTGCTGCACCTCATCATGGAGAGCCTTGTGAAGATCACTCACAAACCAGGTGAGCTGGAAGGATATTCCTTATCCAGTAGGATATACTTCTACAGCAAACATTTCCCAGAAGACCACTTGATGGAATTAGGAAGATTGGGGTAGGATACTATCACACAGAGATAACCTGAGCTTGTGGCTGTGTCTCTAGTTAGCCTCAACCTACATCTGTACAAGTTCTCAGGATCCAGTTATCAGCTGCCGAAACAAGACATCAAGTAATCCGAGTCTTGCAGGCCTAGATTGTTATGTAAGGAAGGGTTCCACGATAACCCTGGGACTCACTCTGACTAGGGATTTATATGCAACATCTTTGTAAGAGTTTTTAAAGGTGGTTAGCATGTGTTGAAGCAATGATTGAAGAACAAGTCTGTTTCTGTGTAGCATGGACCAGCAAATTTCCTTTTGTTCTCAGCAGTTGAGCGGCTCCTGATACTCAAGGGGCAGCAACGAATTAAATAAAACCTTTATCGCTTATTACTGGTCCAGCAAACATGTCCCGACGCAACCTGTGGCAGGAACAAAGCACTACTCACATGATGCTACAAGGCGTATACAATGTTGGATCACGTGATACCTATGTGATGGTGAGGACAAGCTGCTTGACTGACAAGTCCGTGCTACAAATACCATGTTGATTGACAGACTCATGGATCATGTGATATTTAGCACTCCATTCCTCAAAATATCTCAAGATACACTCAATAAATGTTACTTTTGGATAATGATGACTAAGCACATTTTGAACATGTCAGGATGCCACCACTGCTAAAAGATTTCTTATCTATACTAGAATTGTTGAATTACGTGTCATCTGTGAGCTGTTTCAGCAATTTCCTGAAATGTCAACTCAATCGGCTAGTCCACTTCAACCACCAGAAGCTGTGGAACAATCATCCTTCCCTGAGATCACCTACCTGCAACAATCTTGCAACCAGAGTCCGGTGTTTCTCAGACATCTTCTTCATCCCATGGACCAGCATCTTCTTTCTCGTCACATCCTCCCTCTTCTCACTCAGCTGAAGGCTTCGGTAGATGTTCAGGTGTCCGTCCAGGTGGTCCTTAAACTCGGATTGGGACTGAAGCCAAGGGAGGTAACTGCTCATCATGGAGGAGATGACCGCGATGAAGATGAGCAGGAGGAAGATGTCGCGCAGCGAGCGGAAGCTCAACTTGCAGAGGCGAGGGCCCATACTTCATCCCTGATACTGGAAGGACAAGTTACATTAGTTTAATGAGTGAGTGAGTGAGTGAGTGAGTGGAGTGAGTGGGTGGGTGGGAGTGGAGAGTGGTGGGTGGGTGGGTGGGTGGGTGGGTGGGTGGGTGAGTGAGAGTGAGTGAGTGAGTGAGTGAGAAACCCCATTCAGACACCTGGAACCGACCAGTCCTTGTGGTGTCCCCTCTAGAGCACATCATCAGACTGGTTGACAACAAGTACCAGGCAGGGAACACAAGAAATGGGCTTCACACATTGTACCCATGATTTGAACCTGGATCTTCAGGGTGACAAGCAGATGCTTTAACCATTAGGCTACCCAACCACCCCTGGTATGCTGTGTCTAATTAAGCTGGGTCTAGATTCAAGGTGTTCTAAACGCAAGCCAACCTTTCTGTACTCCAAAGAGCATGGATAGAATGATATTGCAGAAAGACTGAAGAATTAACACAATAGCAGCTGTTCAAGAATTGTCAAATGTTTTATCTACTTCAAAAGAACAACGAACACAACTGTAAATTCTTCAGACACTGATTTCTTACATCTATCTTCTTGTTGCTGCTGGCAAAATGAAGTTCAAGAGAGCTGCGTTCCCTTAGGCATTAAACACTAATTTCATTACAAGTTATTTTAAGAAAATGGTCTGAATACCATTTTTCTTTGGTGGCTGATCGTGTGTGTGTGGGAGGCAAGGTCTCGAAAAGCTTAAAAATGTTCCAGATAAATCTGCAAAATAATAATTGGTAACAAATTATATTAATGGTGGGTCTCTTTGTTGTGACATCAGAGAACAGCATCAGTTGTGGCAATGGTGTTCTGTGTACTTGTCAAGGTGAGAGCCAGTATGTTGTTCCCATTTGTGATTTGTTTATGAAATGTTGTTTTATACACCTGTCAACAAGTATCAGTCATCATACTGGTAAGAAAACAGGAATTACATCCCTTAGACATGACAGGATCAGCTGATCCTGGGAATTATTTTCCTGATTATGTCCATTGGTGTGTCAGTAATGTAACTATCCTTGTGGCTTTCACTAAAGAAGTAAACATCTAAGATGAGCTCCACTTTGAATATACCTTTTAAGGGATAAGAACGCTTTTGATTTCTTGAGCAAAAAAGGTGTAATGTGTTCATGTTCTTCTGATGTCCAAATACCTTTTAAAGACTGCTTCACTTTTGACATCCTCCAACATGAGGCTAGCATGACACAGACTCTGCATCTCAGATAACAGTAATCTAGTTTTTGAAATATTAGTGCAACTAAACAAATATAGAAACATTTGGCCAGAAAATCATTAGAAAAAATACAAAGAATTGTACAGGATTGTTTAAATAAAAGTTTTATTTGCACGAGTAGGAGATAATCTATTTTTAAACCATGGCCTGGCTTTGGATACATATAAATACTTTGTAATGAAGGTCCGGGTTAGAATGAGCCTTCAGTAACCCATGCTTGTCGTAAGAGGCGACTAACGGGATCGGGTGGTCAGGCTCGCTGGCTTGGTTGACACATGTCATCTGTTCCCAATTGCGCAGATCGATGCTCATGTTGTTGATCACTGGATTGTCTGGTCCAGACTCGATTATTTACAGACCGCCGCCATATAGCTGGAATATTGCTGAGTGCAGCCTAAAACTAAACTCACTCACTCACTCACTTTGTAATGAAAATCAGTAATGAAGATTTATTGTTGTAAAATATGATGTTTTAATCAATATTACATTTCTTGGATTTAATTTATTGCCAAAGTGATCCATATCATAAGAGGAATAAATTAACCTTTATTTTCTTATTGTATTTTTTCCTAGTTTTCCATTTTTGAAATCTGAAATCTGTAAATCAAGCACAAAAACTAATTACTTCTATAACATTGCACAAGAACTGGTATTTAAAGATGATTCTTGAAACCTGATATTAGCTGACATTCTCTTCAAACCAGAAATACAGCCTTTATTCTTTTATTACAAACCTTTACTTCAATATGCATGAGGGTATTTCTTAATTTAAAATTTATCTCAAATTTAAGTTAAAAAAAGACTATTTGATGTTTTCAAGTGCAAATAATGCATTTGATATCACGCGAAAAATTATATTTTAACTCTTCAATTTAGATTAAGCTAATACATTAAACAGGAACAGCAAATAACATTATTATTCATCATCCAGTGCTTTGGAAGAATAAATTGTGAGGTTAACAGTTTACTGAAAAGTGAATTAGTTGTGTGGGGATTAACATATCAGGCGAAACATGTGATACAACATTTATGGAGACGTAAACAAATACTATTTCCATAAAGCTTGGGAACTAATTGTGTTAATGACACAAAATTGAAACAACCGATGATAATAAGTAATTAATCACATCAGCTGACCATTATCCAACAGCTGACATTAAGTGAGATTAGCGATAATGAGAATGAAATTGATTCCCTCAAATGTGATTGTTTTGCACTATGCCCTCTATCTGTGTGTAGTGTGATTGGACGACAGCATCACTTTCATTACTTCATGCATAACACTTATAAGTTACAGCAATTCAATAGCCTTGAAAATGCTATCAGTTGGCTTTTGATGTTTTTGCTGGAACAACATTACAATATTGTTTTATAATTGAAAGCACTATGAATTATCTGTAATTGGTTGTCATACTAAACATTTTTGTATCAAAAGGACTTGCCTAACAACATTTTATATGATTAAAGGTAAATGATTGTTTTTCATTTTAACTTTTTTCAGTTTTATTACACAAAACATTTTTTCACACACATACCATCATACAAGATCATGCAGATTATAACTGTGTCACATTTCATTAACTGTCAGAGACCACATCATGTTAATTGCTTTAACATTATGGACAGGCCCATTGTACATTATTATTCATCGTACAGTGATGAAAAATTAATAGAAAATGACTGAGTGGGTGTGGTTTTAGCAATATTCCAGCAATATCACAACAATGGGCACCTGAAATGGGCTTGGGTGTAGTTTCAGTCAATGACAGTCCCAAGAACCACATTAATTAACCCTACAGACAAGCCCTCTCTGATCGAAGTGCTAAAGCCCTAAATAAAGCAAATCTAGATTTCCTTCAGGTTCTGAAACATCCTTTTCAATATAAATGGGCTTGTTTGTTACTATCAAAATTTATATGTATCATTTGCTAAGCCTTCAGTCTAATTATAAGTAGTTTTTGTTTAAAAATCGAAGTTGGAGGGGGTCCATGACTTGTTGAATAACACTTTAACCACAAGACTACCCACTACCCTAATAAAAAACAAAGAGGTATACTTGAAGTCCCTCTTGTTTAACATCCATCATATTCAGATATTGCAGTCATGTTTCAGTATATTCATCACTGGATTGTCCGGTCCAGACTCAGTTATTTACAGACTGCTCCCATAAAACTGGAATATTGCAAGTGATTTCAGATATAAAGTAACGTCTAACAATATTTTGGCTTGATTTATGACCTGTCAATTTTAGACATAGTACATACCCCTAAAATTGATTATGACAATGTTTGTTATACTTCCAATGGTAAAAGTTGTTTTGACTACAGATAATCCAAGGGTCAAAAACAGAAAATTTAGAAATGATAATTTGTATAACGACCAAACCAGGTTCAGATGTCATGCAAAACATGAGGAAGGAAAGCCCGTTGAAGAAGGTGTTCGAGGTGGTGGAAATCTTAGGATTGTAATCATGGATCATCTGAGACAGTTACCACTTTCTGAAATCAGTACTAGTCAATAGTACTGCTACAACCATGATATAACTACATCAAACCTGGACTCAAACCCGCAACCAGAAGATCCTGACTTGTCTAAGGGAGGCAACTCTTCAGGGCAGTTCTAGCACCTATGACTTCCTGACCCTCAATTATCACTATTTTTGACTGAATGCACCAAATAAATGGACAATTTATCATTTGAAATGTGTCATTAAGTGAACAAACCATTTAATCTTTCTAAAAAATAATTTTCAATGCCATGAAGCTGATCCTGATGTGACTTCCTAGCTTCACTGAATGGAAATAATACGGACAAACTAAAAATAAGGTTACAAAACCTTAGAATGCGGCCCTGTTGTTTTTGTGTAAACACACCTGTAATTAACCTGTCAGGTGTTCTCGGGAATAGCCTTTGAGGGAAATAACTTGTTTCCAACCTGTCAATATGAGTCACAAGTGGCTATGTGAGTGTCAGTTGTGTCGCCTGTACTGAGCCTGCCTCTCCTTCATCTGAAGTCTCTCTGATCTCGGAGAAGATACAAACATAGCTGGGGGGGAATGGGGATACCTGAGGAACAATATTGTTGGCCAACTACTGTAATTACTCCACTAATAGTAACACTCAGAAAGTTTATGTCCAAGGTGTAGATTTAATTTGGAAAGTTTTGCAGAAATTTGGAGTACTTATTTTCTGAAATTAGAGTATGTGAGAAATTTGAAAGGATGTTTTCATCAGATTACATGTTATCTAACAACTAGGGGCGAGTCACCAGTAAACTTTCTTCGTTGGTTGACGCCTAACAGCAATATTCCAGCTATATGACGTCGGTCTTTAAATAATCGAGTCTGGACCAGACAATCCAGTGATCAACAGCATAAGCATCAAATCTACGCAATTGGGATACGATGACATATGTCGACCAAGTCAGTGAGCCTGACCACCTGATCCTGTTAGTTGCCTCTTACAACAAGCATGGGTTGCTGAAGATCAGTTCTAACATGGATCTTCACGGGTTCCAGATTATGCATGGTCTTCAACAAGCTAACAGACTCGGTATAGTTTGGTTCCACACCATTACATCCCAGTTACATAAACCAATGCTCATGACATCAATCACTGGATTGTCTGGTCCACGCGATAATTCAAGACAACATTCTTAGAGCTGGAATATTGTGTGGTAAAAAAACAAAACTCACAAACCTCAAGGAAAGCGAAAAGCCATTCCAGGCCGATTCTTGGGTAAATGAAGCAGTCAC